GTACGGTACGGTACGGTACGGTACGGTACGGTACGGTACGGTACGGTACGGTACGGTACGGTACGTACGACGGACGAGACGAGACGGAGAGAGAGAGAGAGAGAGAGAGAGAGAGAGAGAGAGAGGAGAATTGCGCCAGGAAGGGATAGAGCTCTAGAGTGAGGGAGAAGGAGAGAATGCCAGGAAGAAGAGCGAGGGTTGATGAGAGAGAAGAAAATTGTGTAGAGAAGAAATGGGGAACTTTTATATTATGTCTTTGCTTCGCTATGAAATTGTGCAGCAGTCAACGCGGTAAATATGGATGGCAACTGATCACCCTTTTCCTCTCTGACAAACTGTCTCTCGCTCTCTCTCTCTCCTCGTTGGCTTCCGTTGACAAGGGGGTCACACATTTCAAATCAACCTGCTTCTTTAACCACGTCACGGGAGCCTCTCACTCTCTCTCTCTCTCTCTCGCTAAGCCCGCTGCCATCGACCTTGATTTGCTTTTTGACTGCCACCCAACCAATCTTTATTTTAACAAGTAATTGAATTTTCATATGGACCCGGTTATTATGCAGCCAAGCCCGCATATGTACAAATGCGGGCCTCTCGGTAAGTCTATATTTGAGATTGATTTTAAGACTTAATTTTCAAAGACATGTAATATCTAACGTAGAGGTCATGAATATAAATTAATTTTAAAAATTAAAAATAATAATTTTAATAAAAAAACATTTAAACCTTTAGTTCCTATTGTTTTTAAATGGAACACCTTCTTGCATCTATCTTAAAGATGGATGCATTATACTTTCTAGATTGTGTACGTAGAAATACGGCCCAACCTACTAAGTTTTATATGGGCTAGGATTGGGTTAGATCCAAGTGATTTGGACTTGGCCGGTCCAAGTAATTTGGACCCGACCTAATTCACACCTCATAACTCATCGAAAATTGCAATTCAAGCATTGGAAAAACTTTAAATCAATCATCTCGGCTTGAACATTATGCTTGTGAAAAAAATATTATGATTTCAAACTCTAAAAAAAGTCTATATTGTCACTAATTATCTCAACCGTCCATTTCACCCTAAAAATAAGTTTTCACAATTCTTCAAGATCTTTACTATTTTTTGAGTTTTAAATTTTATCGTCAATTTCCATTACTGAAAGTACTTTCCAAGCAAGAATCGAGGTGAAGCTTCATGTCGTTTTCATAAAGCCTATGCCTCATGGAAACCTTCAATGTATATAAATTTATATTCTTTATAAATTTTCTACCAAGTCTGGTCGACCCTAGCCCAGCCCCATGGAGTCTATGCCGGATCCATCACGAAGCCAAACCAACCCAAGTCAAGTCCAAATCATTTGGACCCAAGCCAGACCTATTGGGATCCAAAACATGGACATGGCCCCCCAAACCTGGACCCAATTCGAGTCGACCCACCGGGTCAGCATGTCAACCCGTTGCCACCCCCATCCCTCTCTCTCTCTTTTCAATTCGGGAATGAATGAATAAAGTAATGCTTTTAAATTTGGTTAATTTTCCAACTCTACTATCTTTTTCTTCATATAAGTCTCTCCTTTCCCCTTTCCCTTTGCCCATGTTGAAGTAAGGTATTCCTGGCCCACTTCGTGCAAGAATCGAACATAAAGTGATGTAAGGAGCGAGATGGTGGGGTGAATAGTAATGAAAACTGAAAAGCATTTCCGAGTACTTGCTCATGGCTAATCATTTCTTTATAGTCACGCATATGAAAGTCAATTGTCTCCCACTTTCCACCTCATGAAATAACGTGTATTTGCCACCCCAAAAAATTGTCACCACCACCACTCAAATTAATTGGTATTAATTCCACACCAAAATACAAAAATGAACTGTGGAGAATCTAGATCATGATTTGACACAATTTAACAAGCATTTCTAAACATAATTTGCAAAACCATCTACTCAAAAGATTTTAACTTTGTGAAAAATAACATTAGAAAGTTACAGATCTATAACAATATTTCCCAGCTCCAACTGCATAAAATATTTCAAGGCCGATACAGAGCTTCGGCACAGCTGCTAAATAAAATTATACAAATTACACTCTAAAGGTGACGCCTACTCTTCCTCTTATGATGTTTTCCGGCAAAATCATCACTTTCCGGTGTACTATCAATATTTGAATCATTGATAACCAATCCACGATTCCTTGAAAGCTTCCTTATTGGAGTTGTTGGAGCAGCTTGAGAGTCGATGGAAGCAACAGCAGGATTCCCCTGAGAGTTGCCAAAGTGAACAGTCGGATCGACCTGAGTATTTCCAGAATGAATGGCTGCATTTCGGTAAGGCATTGCCTCCTCCCCACTAGGAACAGTGTCAATCATCATCTGCCAAATGTCAAAGGAACAAAAATCAAAACCATATTCTCAACTATTTTAAAATATCTCTTTCTCAGCGATTAGATGTGGAATAATTTATTGGGAAAATTTTGAAATTTTGGTTTGTCATGGGAAATTTTGAATAACAAGGAAAAGGAAAAGTTACAAAGAAATGAAATCAACAAAAACAGTTAGAAAATATATAAGGATACAGTACATTTGCTACCCATATCATATTTTGTTTGACCTAAATTTGTAGCTAAAATATAGGATAAATTTAATTTCCAAAACAACAACTAATAAAAACTGTTTGAGGAGGGGATTTCACAAGAAAACACATTTCCATATCTTTCTTATTAGAAATAAACACCTCCAGTATGAAGTGAAAATTTAATATAATTCCAAGTAGTGATTGGAAACCGGGACACAGACCTGGAACCAGGCAGGGCCAGGACCCAAGTAACCAGTCAAACGCAGCTAAATCTCAACAAGACTTGGCTTGTCTCTGCCAAAATGACACAATAGGGTCCATGCCTCCTAAAGTTTTTGGAACCAAAACCAGGAACCTTCCTGGTATGAGTGACTCAGGCAAGTCTGAACCCAAGTCACCGAGTTTCCAATTACAGCAATAAAGGGACGGTGATGCAGTGGGATTGGCACCTACCAATAGTGTAATGTCCTGTTTTGATAGGTATCCCTCCCACCATGAAGTATATTATAACCAATGTTCAAGAAGGCGGATGTGGCTGCCTAGGTGGCCAGGGGTTTGAGCTGCCTAGGCAGGCACCCAAATACTTAGGTGGCCCTAAGGAAAAGGGTTGGGGTGGGAGCCATATGTTGTTTTGTGTATGTGTGTGTGCGTGTTTTGTGAATGTGTGTGTATGTCTATTCGCACGTATGTTTGCACATGAGGTCTCAAATGAAATTCTTAAAGATCATCCTCTTTTTTCTTTTGGATTTGTATTTGTTAGAGAGAGGTCTTGAATACTTAGAGAATATGTCGAGAGAGAGAGACTTTGCATCAAATACTTGGAGGGCATCTTCTTCTTTCTTTTTCTTCTTACATGTAAAAAGGGGGCATATAGGACGATGTGTATCTTTGAGTGTGTGTGTGTGAGACAGACAGAGAGAGAGACGCCGTGCATCGAGCACTTGGAGTCCATCTTCTTCTTCTTCACAAATGTAGAGAGAGCACATGGATCCAAGAGAGATAGAGAGAGAGAGAGAGGGGCAATACCAAGCCTTGTTTTTGTTTGGGTAGATTTGAATTTCTTCTTTTCCGTTTTTTTTTTTTTGGTCAAAGGATGGCACTAGGTGGGTGCCTTAGGCATGCTTACCAAGAACCCACGGTCTAGGCGGCAAGGCGGCCAAATTTTTTCTCCTTGATTATAACTCAAAAAAATATGGGAAAAACCATGAAATATTACATCACCGGAAATCAATTCAGGGTTAATGGTGAAGAGAGATTGATACACATCATTAGGCTAATATCATGTTTTGATGGGCCTCACTCACTCCATTACCATCCATTGATTGGACAGTGTTGAATAAACAGACACCATTTTTTTCATTATGGAAGAGACTATATCACACTATCACTCCGATGAAAATCCCATAATCTAGCAGTTCTTTTAAAAAATTATAGATAGTTTGAATAGAAGTAGAACTACATCAATAGCAGGGTCATACATACCTTCCAGTCCTTGAAATCAAATCTGAATACAAAATGGTTATAAGAAACCTCTCCAGTAGCGACATCATTTGCAGCAGGAGCATTCCGTGGTGCTAAACAGAAAAAATAAAGGGAAAACATAAAAAAATCATTGGCATGCTGAACTCATCCATCCACATCACTACATGCATGTATATGAATCAAAACAAACATGAATACATCTATGAGATTATGAAACAAGGATGCATACATGCACATGAAGATAACAATTAACAAAATTAGCACATATGCATATACACAAAGGATAATGGTTAAATATGCACGTGCCATTGTGCCAGCATGAATACACCATCACATATATAGAGGAAGTGCAAAGAAGGATTCTCACCAACAAAATGGTATCCTTCATCACCTATAGAAATTGCAGCCCGTCCATCTTTAACTAGAAAGGAGAGAGCAAATATATTCTCCACTGTTTGAGCAAATGAAGCTCTATTAAGAATTAGGTTTTCAAGTCTAATACGCTTTCGCTTCCTCAGAATATCAAACATGGTCACCATGTTTCTATCTGTATCTGATTTCAGTTCCCCTTGAGGGTCTTCCTCTAACTGTAAGACAGGCACAAACTTTCCTTCAATAAAATTGAACATATTAAAATACTAATTAACAAACCAAAGATAAGGACGCTTTCAGATACTTCAGCTATTATTTTATCAATAAGGAACAGCTCACCTCCTCAGGTCGAGTTCTCTCAGTTGGTCTTACACGCTTCCTCTGAACCACTGTCCGCCGTGGCTTCAGTTCAATATCCATTGGCCCAAGCCTGACACCACGCAATACAGAAGGAATAAATCAAAATATGGGAAAAAAAAGAAAGTAACCAAGTGATCCAGTAGACTATAGGGAACCATAATTCAGCATCGTGATCATCCAACAATTTCATGAACAGTGACAGAAAGTGTGGATCTGGTTCATGCCACATTTGGGTGGGTCAAACTCTCCATCTAAGGCCATTTCAATGGATGGGGATGAGCCCAATGGACTGAGTCTATGATCCTCTACAGTCCATAGGGCTATAGGATGCTTCCCAAGAAGCATGATTTGCCAGATGACACTGAACAAGAAAAATCAAATATGTAGTAGTGTGAGGGAATATTTACATGGTGCATGCACTTGGTGCAGCTCTGAAAATATGAGAGACGGCATGTCCAAACTCCACCCATGACAGTGAGTCATAATCGCTGGCACCCTTCACTAAAGTTTTCTTTCCAAACTTTTTTATCACCTTGGTAATGAAATCTGATGGTGTTACACCCTCACTATTCTGTGATTTAACAGACAACAACAATGTGTTTGCGATGTCCAAAAGAGCCTCCGCGTCCGCAACTTGCTCTCTTGGCTTCTCAACTGTAAATTGAAAGCAAATTCAGTTCTATGCTTAATTTCAAAGAGAAACAAGATGAAATACTCCTATAGGAATATATCATACAAAAAAAGGAAAATAAATAAAACACAAATTGTTGGAAGCAAAGGAGCAGAACAATAAAATTGACATTAGTGACAAACCAAAGCCAAGAACAGGCCCATTTGTAAAAATGATCAAAATAACCATCATTTCAATAAAAGATGAGCCTGATTGAACAAAATGCAGCAAACGTACAGAAAACAACCCATGATTTTAAACCTAACATTTACAACACAGCCTTCAGATATCAATCTCATACGTTAAAGGTCAAAAACAAATTGCACCAAGACAATTCGGTCATTCTAAAAAGTCCCATTTGATAGCATGAAAGATAACATTGTCAATATCACTACGACTAGTGATAGCACACAAGTGCATGTGCATGCTTATGTGTATGTCACTGAGTAAATGATAATTAAGAAACAAAAATGGGAAAGTCAAAAAACAAGTATATTGACTCCAGTAATTTACCCAATAAGAAAATTCTAATCAATGAATATCATTTATCAACCACGAAGTTACTTCACATACTAGCAAATCACATACATAAGAGCAATCAGAAACCATGTAATTAAAACTAAACAAGTATCACAACTCACAAGCCATTGTGAAGCAACAAAATGAATTAATAAAGAACAGCCAAAACTGAGAAAAGTTCTGCAGGGGTACAAAATGTACAACAACGATCAAAAGCAATGGATTCACAATGTCATCCTACATTTGTCCTTCATTACATCACCACTGTTACTAAAGAAACAGTTGAAATTGGCCCTCAATGGCTTTCCCCTCACCTTCCCTATATATCTTGCTTCTGCAGATAAAAATTTATATTTATCTTTGACCAACTCAAATATGCCATAGGAACCAGGGTCAAGTCTCCAGTACCAAGGGTCACATGGTCTTCGATCAGTATTAAGGCATAACAAATCCGGGATGATAGGTTTCAATTGTCACTTGACACAAATTTTATCATAATCAAAGCCTTTTCCCAACTAATTGGGATCGGCTACACGAATCCTAGTCACCATTCTGCTCTATTAAGGGTCATACCCTTAGTGAAGCTATAAGCCCCCATATCATTTTTCATTACTTCCAACCAATGGTTTAAAAAATGGATCGGTGCCCCCTGGATTGGGCACCTCAAAAGCGCATCCGGATCGGTGAATCGGTGATCTGGATGGGGAATCGGTCGAATTGGTCGGATTAAGCCCTAAAAAAAATCCGAAAAAATTATTAAAATTCATTATAAATGTTGTCTTTTAGGAATCCAATAAGAAATAGGGGTACTCCATTAAGAATTTTCATTTTTTTGCATGAATATGCGAATATTGATATATTCTTTTCCTGCATGAACTACTGTTTACCATTTAATTTACATCACACAAAAGGATAAGCATGGAATTATCATGGATTAAGTACATCATCATACATGAAATACAATAAAGCACACAATTTGACAAAAAATTTACAATAATATAATTATCCATAATGCCACTACATGTACATTTGGCACAAAAAATATTTACAATGATATAGTCATTCACAATGCCACAAATAATATTTACAATGATCACAAATAATCGTACATCTCAATTACAAAAATGCAAGATAATATAATAAAAAATGCAAGCTCCAAACATGCCTACAACTCAATTATCAAGAATATATATACAATTTATGTATCAACATACATTTTTTTGCATTAAAAATCTAATAATAAAATTGAAAAATGCAAGATAATATAATTATCATACATGCCATGATTTTTTTACAATGATATTCATACAGTTAATAACAAGAATATACATACATGCCACAAATAATATTTACAATGATAATATAATGATAAAATATTTATCAATCATATACATACATTTTATGCATTAAACTTAAAAAATAAAGTTTTTGCATTAAAATTTTAACATGTATTTTTTTGCATCAATAATCGATCAACATGCAATTTTTTGCACTAAAAATTTAACAACAAAAATTAAAAATACTACTTAATTCCTCACGATAATCAAAACATGGTCACGATTTTCACAATTTTTCGGAAAATCACGATTTTTCAAAAAAATCAATCATCAAAAAAAAAATTTCAAAAAACGGAGCCACAACTCCTCTTCATCCGAAATCGTTCAATAAAAATTGCTTCACACAACAAATTACGCCCAAAATTAATTGAATATCAATATTACCTTCAAAAACCTTCAAAGATAATTCATAATAGTACTTTAAATCGTCTCATATTTGTAGTTTGGCAGGAGAAAAAAAAAAAACCTGACTGTTCTTCACAAAACCGTGACTCAAAATCATAAATCCACTAAAAATCCACCAAAATCAACACAAAAGGTATACAATTTCTGATGAATAACACAATCACGACTAATTTCCCTCTTATTTCTTACAAAATAGTGATCTATTTCATCTGTAATTCAAAGAATGGCGGAAAAAAAAGGCAGAAAAAACGCAAACCCAACCTGACATCAGTCATTTGAACTCGAAAATCCACCTCAAATCAAACAAATTAGATCTAATTGAATGCATTTTATGATAAATAACACTATAAGGAATCAAAACCCTATAATATTAACAAATTATTTGCAAAAACTTAAAAACAATCGATTGAAGCGGAAAACCGAACTTCTTACCTATTTTTCTACAATCGTGGTTTCAAATCCAAATCTGGGTTGTAATGGACCAACATATTCGCAAGGCATGATTAATTTCTTCTAAATAACACTTTCAAGATCAATGACCCTCAGATTTTACAAAAAATGATGCCCTATTATGCTTGAAATCAGAGAAATGGCAGAAAACTAAAAGAAACGCGTTGTTCTTCACAGATCCGCCAATTTGTGACTGAAATTGAAGATTTGAACTCCAATTTATCAAATGATAAGGCTGAAAAGCTAAATCAAAAAGCTGAAATATTCAATTCACATGCTGAAAAAGCACAAAAATTATCAAAAAAAATGCCAAAATTTGATGATTCCCATCACAAAACACTGTTCACCCGTGTTTGAACAGTGACTCAGGCGATTACTATTGGGAATCGCCTGGTTCTCTCTAGACACAGGCGATTCCCCGTGTTTCGCTGGAACCGGTACGGGTGTGCCGATTCTCGAGTCGAATCGGGCGAGTCCGGTTCGACTTGCCGACTTTTTAAACATTGCTTCCAACCATATTTTTTCCTTGCCTTTTTTTAGCCTTCCACTTGAACTACCATGTACCTCCTAACTGGTGTTGTACTGGGTCTACGACACATATGGCCAGTCTACCTAAGTCTACTTTCTCTCATCTTATTTCCTATTAATAGAAGAAAAGAAAAATGCTTCCAACAATATCAGAGCGAAAAATTGAAAAACAAGGCAAAGGAACAGCCGCATATTTTGATTAGTAGAACAATGAACATAGATCCAAAACCAGTCCCCCACTGAGACTAAAGGCATAGTGCAATGAAACAAGATGGAAGAAAGTTCTTGGCCCCATGTCAAGTTCCAGAATCTCTCAATCACTTGTAGCTGGAAAGTGAGGACCTCGTGACCATATATTTCTTGTAGTAACTAGTAGTAGGGCATAATTTCCCTATCAACTCTCTCTCCATCACCATCTAACCATTTATTTGACAGCAATGACCCTCATAACCATAGAGTGTCATGGTCATGAAGATTTTTACGATGGCCATCATGTTGACATGTGGTTCATGGGCATTAAAGTCTTGGGTTCAGAGCCTACCTTCATGCACTGGACACCTGAGCTCTCTCCCCCCCATGATCATGAATATTTTTTGTGAGTATGCATGTAAAATGATGAAAAAAGAAAAGATCTTAACAAGGTGGAAGCAAAACTCAAGCAAGTCAACCCCCAACTCATTCATTTTTTGAAAACACATAAGGTTCCAAAAAAATTAAACAACAAAAACATGTTATCTACATTTGCTCAGTTTTACTTTATTTAACTATTAAACACACAATTAATAAATTCTATATATTTTGTATGTTCCATGTTTTTTAGAAACATAACAAATATCATTAATAAAATTACACTATACATCATAAATGGAATTACATGTTAAAAATTAATAAATACAAACTACTTTACATTATTTTTATAACATTAAATTGCGGAAGCATATTAGAAATAAACTCATAGTTCATAACTGGACATAGGTAATCTGCTTATGACATCATCCAAAACAAATAAAGCAGATGAACTTAGTTTCAAGGGGAAATAATAATTTTTAAAGAGGGATTTTGCTCAAGGAATTGAGGCAAAACAGAATCGGCAACCCCTTTGACCCCTCCAATGTGGATTATAAGGTCCCATAACTTTGGTGTAACAAATTATACTTTTTACCAAATAATCTATAAATGTCAAAAATCATCCCAATGTTTTTCCAAAATCCACCCAAGTCACAATTGGCACTCAGTGTTTCAAATGCACGAAAACTTCTTCAAATTGGATACATAAATTCTCGGAAGGAATATTGCATTTTCCCTAAAGGCACCATTGCATCATAACAACAATCGTAATAAGTATGAATGGGACCTGTAAATTGCATAAATTGCCGAACTAGGCCTCTCAGAAGTTTGCCCTAAAGTTTTGGGGAACTGGGTTCCCTGAATAGAAGGTAAAATTGTTTTCTTAATAACTTAAAAAAGAAAAAATCAAAAGAACAAAACAGATAACATTTAATTAAAAAATTGAATTCTACCATATCATAACTTGGCTATCCATACAAATAAATATAAGTCATGAAAAATGAATATGATGGCAATGATGGAGATGATTATGATTACCATGTCGATGCAAGGATTCAACTTCACTGATGATTGTTTTGAATTTATCTGAATCCAAACAAGTTATTTCATCCCTTTCATCTGCAACCATAAAGAAATAAATAAGTTAGCGAATTAAATGGGTTTAAATATAAGAAGGAAAACACAAAGGCCCAAACGCAAATTACACTAAATTAAAATCAAAGAACATAATAATCAACAAAACAAACCAAGAAGGATTATAAATAAATAAAAAATGAGAGATAAATGAACTTACCATTAATCAGATTCTTAACGGCCAGATAACGAGACCTTAAAACACGTCTCTCTGTAGTGCTTTGATTTCCTTGAGTATCAGTATGAGTAGCTTTGGATGACGGCTCCTTACTGGTGCTTGCTTGATGCTTCTCTTTCTTCACCATTTTCAGTAAAATCCTGCAAAAAATATTTTCGAAATCAGCGGTGATTCTTGCTTGTGCACCCACGACGTCAAAAAACCCTAAGCCCTAGTTCTTCACAATAAATCATAAATTTAGGAGAAGGAATTTACACCAATCCAAACCTAACCGATAGATAAACCCTCAATTGTGCAAAAAGGGGAAAAAGAATAGGGAAAAATGACTCCTTAGAGAAGAATGAATATGCCCTAGAATCCCGAGTGAAGCTCTGGTTTATTTCGGTTAAAAAGGGGGGAAATTTGGGATTTCTCCAGCTCTCTTATGCGTTTTAGGGTTGTGCGTTTGAAATTTCAAAATCTACAGAATTCGAAAACCGGGAAAAGCCAGAGCCAGTTTCCTTATTATTATATCGAATTATCAGCAAAAGTAGATCAGTGTATCATGTAAATGGTTTTTGTCAAATGATTTTCTAACCGTTAATTTGAGAATGGACGGCAAATGATGTCCTGCAGAAAAAGTTGTATAATAATAATTTTTTATTGGATATAGTTTGCCACCGTACTTTTTAGTAATCCACCGGAAAAAATTTTCATTATGGCTTATACTAAAAAGATGTCATGTTTCTGTTCCGATGGAGTAAACTGGCAATATACTCCCTCAAGCAAAACCCAATTCAGCGGCACTTAAAAGGGACCCCAAATTTTGGGGTTGAAGAGATTTCAACCTACATGCTATACTAAATAAAAAAAAATTTCTAAATTGCATTTTCTATATGCTTTAAAAAAAAAAAAAAAAAAAAACATCATGATTGAATAGAAACTAACAAATTTTTAAAAGGAACCGGTTTCTATGTAGCCAAGCCCGTATATGTAGAAATGCGGGTCTATTTATAAATCTACTTTTGAGATGGATTTTAATAATTAATTGTTAAGGACATGTAATCTATAATATGGAGATAACGAATATGAATAAATAAATAAATTTAAAAAATTATAACTAATAATTCTAGTAAGAAAAATTTTGGACCGTTTTTTTTTGTGTCGCACTAAGCTCTCCAGCTAAGGCTGAGTATGATGGGCGGTTTTCAAGTTCAATACTATGTTCAGTTTGTAAATCTTTCCTGCGAGAGTGCAATAAGCAATCTTACATTAGCAGAGTACTTGGTCAAAGTAAATACATTTCCATTGTTTTTAGATGGAATACCTATTTTTAAGATGGATGTTTTACACTTTCTAGACTGCACATATATAAATGAATTCCAGATGGATGTTTTACACTTTATGAACCGCAAATGTATAAATGAAGTCCAGCGTGCATTGAACAATTTTCCATTTTAAACGTGTTAAAAAACTCAAAATCAAAATTCAAGACCTAATTTGGATGGCAAATAAAAAACTCCATCATATTGCAAAAAATCAAAAGTTTCTTTGACCTCGATTGAAAAATATTGTCATCTTGCTGGTAGATTATTGGATGTTAGCAAAAATATCAAAAACATATTTTATTCGCCATATATGTTTATTTCGATGCTTCATTATAAAATTTGACTTCATATTTTTTCTATAAAATTTTAGCAACTTTTATAACTTTTTTTACAGGCGCTTGATAAAAACAAATAATCTCATGTGAATGGGAAAACTCTATGTAATGGAGTGAGAGAGACTGTAAACCATTATCACCCAAAACGGGAGTCACACAACATCGTTACCAGATAGATGAAAATAAAATTAAGAACATAAACACATTAAAACTGCTTTATTTTCTCAAAAACATTTCCCAAAATTTTAGTATTTGGAGTTGACGGACATTGAAGAAAGGCTGACGTCTGCAGAATTACCCACGTACACAGCAAGATGAAGTTTCTATAAGGCCGAGGTTCTATAAAAACAAAATAAAGCCTCACCTTAAGTCTTTGTCTAAAAAGTACTTTTGGCAACAAAAATATCTATAATGATTCTAAAATCAATTTTGAACACTGATAATAAATTTTGAAACTCAATAAATAGTATAGATTTGGTTAACGCTTATTTTTTAGGACGAAATGGATAGTCTAGATAATTTATTACAATATATACTATTTTTAGAATTTGAAATCTTAATTTTTTTTTTTTAACAACCATAATGTTCAAGCCGAGATGATCAATGTAAATATTTTATAGTACTTAAATTGCAATTTTTGATGAATTATAAGATGAGGTTTTACTTATTTTGATAGGGTTGCAACCCTATCAAATAATTTTTCTTGTTTTTAATAGGGATGAGGTTTGTATTAGGTGCACCATCTCTAATTTTGCCACGAGATATAGTTCCGGAAACCCTATGATGGTTTGAAATTCCATGTCTACCCTAATATAAAATTTAAAAATTTAAAAAATAGTGCAATAGATCTAAACACACTTGAAAATCTTAAAAAGAGACGATTAATGTGACTTAATATAAAATCATATATTGATCATCTATTTTAGTATTTAAAATTCGTTTTCTTTTTATATCTATACATCCAGAGGTCGAGATGATCAATTGGAAGGTTTCTATTGGATTTTTTACTTGCACCTTATTTCTATAGTACAAGGTGCAACCTTGTATAAACTTTTTTTTTTAAAAAAAAAGGGGGCTATTAAAGAAAAAAAAAAGATATTGATATAGTCTTTAAAGATGTTAGACCCCTTGGGTTTTAGGTGGTGAGCTTGGCCCTCCCACCTCTACATGAGCATTTTAAAAGTTGCAATAAATCCATTTGTCCTTTTTATGAGCCATTTTGTGTTTAAAAGAGAGTTTTTTTGTATTTAAAAGAGAGTTTATATATATATATATATATAAAAGATGAAAGGAAGAAAATAAAAAAAAGCCCCCGATGGTAATCTCCCTGCATCAAAATTTATATGCACTCGCACCACTTACCTTATTATTATTTTTGCATTGGGTGAGTATTTAGTTCATTATGAATTGTCCCTTTCACTCAAACACGTTAAATATTAAGGCAATACAAGTATAGATGACTAAGGTAGTGGGTGCCTTAATATGATGTCTTGAGTTTCATTTCTATTACAGTTAGAGAACTATTTTCATATTTAATTACTAAAACAATACAAAATCTATGGCATTCTATTTATAAAATATTCCTAATAGGATTTTGTGATTTTCCCAAAATTAAAAAGGTTATTTTTTTCCCCTCTATTTTTGTTCTCTCATCTCTCTTTCTCTCAACCTAAGTACTTTAAGCTGGTCTTTTATAAAATCTCAAAAGTGTTTCCCTCCTCACCGTCCTCTCTGGAAGCTTAAGTCTTTCCTTGCCTCATTTCACATTTTCTCAGGGTAAATAAAACCAATGAAGAAGAGATAGAAACCAAAGAATAAGAAATGTAGACCTACATTAGAGGAAGGGTATTTTTTAACCATGCCATCGAAGTCTTCTGCTTTTCACAAACATAAAGTAAAATAAAATAATTGTGAGCTCTTTTTTATTTATTTTTTATGTGTATCTTGTGTCTTTCTTAATGAAAATCGACTATAATCATGGTTGGGCTCAGGTGTGAGAAATTGGTTAGTTTTGTCATCAAAGTTGGCTTTACTTAAGATATCAAGCTACAAAAAGGGTAGATTCATGAGGAGTTATATATTGATCTCTCAAATTGGTTATCTCAAATTTAAGTCGACTAATGGTGTGAGAAGTTAAACCAAATAAATTAGTGAGGAGTGTTAAATTTACAGCTTAATTTAAGCTCTTGTGGTTGCGTGGGTGATTTCAGGTTATTTAGTTTTTTTTGTCATGTCATCAATGGGATGGAGGGTGGGATGTTATATTGAGGCATCAGCCCCCCAACAATTGATATCCCAACCCCATTCCCGATTTCGAGTTATTTCATTTGAAAGAGATTTATCTATCCCTTGGTGCTTCTACTTTTACGTTTATTCGTTTCTACTTTTAGCAGAGCGTCAAAACACGACATCTTAAATTCTATTCCTACTACGGTACAAGACCCTTTCCCCATCGAACTACCACAAAAAAAAACTTGTCAGGGGCAACCTATGCTTTAGGAATTGGAGCATCACTCCAAGTGCCGATAGCCTGAAAACATAAAGCTTTGTTGTCAATGAGGTCGTAATAATAGTTAGAAATGAGATGGTGGTGACAATTCTCATGAATTGGTTCATAAAAGATGGCAAAGGGAATGCTTTAGACTGTTTCAGGTAAACAAAGGTAAGCAAATTATCATGGAAGATTTGTTTCAGGTAAACAAAGGTAAGCAAATCATCATGGAAGATTGGATTGCTGGTGTATATTGCCTACATGAAAGAGGTTGCCACAGTTGACAGTGCTGTGCAAGTTGTATAAGTAGGGCAAGGTGTAGCTCCCATGAGCTCTTATGCATAACGCAATCCATTTAATTTGGTTGATGCACATAAATTTGCATAACCATCATAAGGAAAAAGTTTTGTATAAGATTGTAGACTTATACTATAGAAGGTGCACATCAGAGTTGGAAACCTTCCAATTGATTATCTCGACCTCGAGATGAATAACATAAAAATAAATAAATAAATAAATAAAAGAAAGAGAAGAGTTTAAAGTCCTTAAAATAGTGCGCCTTGTAACATGTTATTTGGACAATCTTTTTCAAGTGTTTATGGATTTGCTCGATTTGCATCGCTTTTGAAATTTTGAATTTCACAATTAGGGTTGAACATGGATTTTCAAACCTCGTATGATTTCTGATACCGGACTACATCTTCCAGTAAAATTTAGAGGTGCCTAACTTGTATAGTGTAAGGTGGACATCTTATACACACCTCACCCTAAATAAAATGAGAGATTAAAATAATAGAAGTTTAGAAGAGAAAGGTAACAAATGAGATTTCCCTTTCTATAATAATGGTCAAAGGAGGTAGCAAAATGATACACCGTTAGGACACGGATGCCTCAATCAATGTTGTTGTGTTTTGCTTTGGAAAATACCAAGTATTATTTAAATAATATCTTTTATACTGTATTTTGTCTTATTTGTAAGAAAAAATAGTGGGTTATTTATCTTATATTGAAATATAGAGTAAGAGAAGGCATACTTAAATATATGGATATCCTCTTCAATTTTGCTCTAAAACCCAGGGGAAGAGAAGGCAAAACATGCATATGCATGTGCTTGTAAGATCGCATAAGGGCCCTTGATGGTGCATTTTGCACTTTGCATATTGCACTTGTGCGGGTGGGGCTCATTCTGGCAATTTAGCTCTAGTTGGACTTTGCACTTCCCACACTCGCATCATGCAACAGGAGCCTTTTCTAGTCGAGCAAGAAACACCATTTTCTCATTTTGGTAGTTTGGCTCCAACTACACTTCATACTTGCATCAGTGAAAGAGGTGCCCTTGGCCCGCACAGGTGTACAGGTCGGGCTCGTTTTGGTAATTTAGCTTT